CTAGGTACTCCCACATGTTAGACCAGGTTTACTGTTGGGCTGTCCTACACCATGAGCTGAGGCTGGGCAGCATTTCTAGTCCCCACCCACTAGCTGCCTGTAAGGAAATTATACTAAGACTGCCAAATGCCCCTTGAAGGAAACAAAATTCCTTAAAGCCCACCAGAGAGAAAATGTAGTTGCTTTGCAAATTGCTGTGCTTTATTTATTCATCAGGAGTATCTAGCTATGACAATATTTACAAACAGACTAAAGTTTAAAGATGGTAACGTTTGAAAATATTCCCTGAAGTTCATTATGAGATGCAAGTTATCAACTCCAAAGGTAGGATTATGGCTAATGCCCCTCTTAACCCTGCAGAGGATTTTGCATCACAGAAATATTAATAGCTTCTGTCTGTTTACTCCTCCCTATGACTAGGTAGGAACATGAGGGCTTTATGCTCATTATGTCCACTCTCTCATTTTATACATTTGTCATCTTCCTGAGGTGCCTGTCAAACCCACTGAAGTACAAAATAATTTTACTGTCTACTTTAACCTATCAGAGGCCCAGATATGTATCTCATGATGATCATTCTGGTACTAAAACTAAGAAGGAAGTATTTATTTAAATATATTTAACATATATTTACAATATATGACAAAAGTCAAATTATTATGGGTTTTAAGAACTGAGGGAATGTTACCTACACCTAACAAGTTAAGGGAGACAACAATGATCTTTCTCGAAATAAATTTTACTATTATGGCATAATAAAGCATCCTTTTTACATTTTTTTTTTTTTTTAGGTGGTTTTTATTTTGGTTTTGGTTTGGTTAGGTTTTTTGAAACAGAGTATCCCTACATAGCCCTGGGGTCCTCGAACTCACCATGTAGACCAGGATGTCCTCTAACTCACAGATGTATCTGCCTCTGCAAGAATTAAAAGCACGGGCTACCACACCACACCTGGCTCTTTTTTAAAACTTTGTAACTGTGATTCCTTGAGTACTTTCAGGGTTTTTGCCCACTGCCTGTTACTAACTTTCCACCCCTCTATGCCACCCACACCACACAATTCAAAGTATGTGTTTGATTGTTTACCTTTCAGTAGATATTGAAGTCTGAATTCAAATCCCAGCTTGTCCTCCCTTTGGAATTGAAGAAAAGTTAACTTGTTTAAGCTTCAAATTCTACTATGCAACTCCATTATCTGAAGGTTAAGAGTTAATAAGATCTAGTAAAAGCTGCCCTTCCCCTCTCTTTCATATCAAAGTAAATTAAGTATTGGTTAAGTACCCATTCTACTGAAGCATTTCTTATGCAGATAACATAGGCCAAGGAAGGAGGCGATTAGAGGCCAATAGTTCAGGGACTCTTCTGTTTACTTTTCCTTAAAAGAACTGTTCCATTCCTTTCTCCCATTACCCTAGCAGCTGCTGCTGAGAAATTGTGATTCATATTTCCCTCCAAAAAGGAGGGAGATAAATTGTGGGTTTCCTCCTATCACTAAGCTGCATACATAATTCATAGATTTAGCTTACTGTCAGACAGTGCATAAGAGTAAATTATCTATTTTAAGAATTACTCATGATTGGTAATTTGATAGTAAATCAAAGTTATTTAATGTCACTTAGTAAATAATAGACTCTTAGTTGTTAAAAGAATCAACCTTTGGGAATGCAGTTATATAAGCCACTGTTTTCCTTACTGGAAAATCAATTAATATATTATTTTTATTAAGTAGTAGGGGAAATGTAATTAACTAAATGTGATTCTTTCATTCCATCTAAAATATGTAAAAACTAATATATATAAATATAAAGCTCACTTGCAAAATAAAATCAGAACAGGAACTCAGGAAGAAATCTATTGGTGGTCTCTAAGATGCGTAACACATTTTTCAGGAGAAACTTGGTAATCTGAAAATATGTTGATATGACACTCATATTTTCACTATATAAAAGTGCACTGCATTTTTTTCTGTTCAGTTTCAGTCTTGATTATTCGTAAGTTAGAATTTTAAAACATAGTTTACTTCCTATGTTCTTAAGATATTTTAAAGGCAATTATCAGAATCTGATTTTATATTGTGTATTGATGCATGGTTTCACAGGTAGCCCAGGCAAGCCTTGAACTTGTGCTCCCAGGTGCAGTCAGTTTTTCATAAGCTAAATTTGCACATTTGTTCTTTTAAAAATTAACTTCAAGAAGAAACTTAAAGATAGGTAAAAGTTCTCCAAAAATGCTGATACTCAAAATTTCCAGCAAGGAGAAGCTAAATGAGCAAGTAAAATAACATCACCAAACCGCAAGTACCAGTTGGGAGATGTAGCCTTGGTTTCAATGCCCAGTGTACACAGACACACACAAGGCGGGGGTCAGGGGGATGCAGAAACAGAGAAAAAAGTTTTTCTTTTAAAAAGTAAAAGAAATGAAAAACTATTTATTTTAGAATATTTTTAAAATATCAAATGTATACTATATGTGCCTAAGTTTGAAGTTCCCAGGTACATAGTCTAAAAATGATAAACATTAAGCATGCAGTTAGAAGACAAATGCTCTGAAAATCAAGACATTGAACTTGAGTGAACATCAACTGTCAAGATGAAAACATGTTTTCAAGAAAGTTGCTAAATAGAGGAAAAAAAGTAAAAAAAAAAAAAAATGTACACTGTCCATACCCAGACTGTTTTGACCTTCAAACCAATTTATCCATGACATTGGCAAAAATTTGCCAAAATAAAATTCAAATTCAATCATTAGTAACATCCAAAAATATCAACCTTATCCATTTTCCGCCTTACATGTTTGGCAGTACATAAAATGAATGTCAATTTAATGCCCTTTCATTGTCCACTTCACACCTGTGACCTGAGTGAAATTAACGGCCAACCGATGCAAATCATTCATGTATTTACCCAGCTAGTAACTATCACAATAAAAAAAAAAAAAAAAAAAAAAAAAAAAAAAAGGAACCTGAGGCACAGAGGTTGAGTAATTTGTACAGGTAACTTGTACAGCTGAGAAATGGTAGAGCCAAGACTTGAACCCCATGTGCACAATAAGAATCACGTTTTTAAGGTAAGTACCTTTTTGTAAGAAGCAAGTGTTGCAAATGAAAAAAAAACAGTATTACAAATGTATGCGGATGAGAATACAAATTAGACAAACTTCATTCCTGAACACGTAGATTATTTCTATATTTGCTTACGATTAAATACAAAACTACATTCAATCCTAAAAGCAGTCAGCAGAGTAAAGGAAATAATTCCCTGTCATTTTTCTGATCCTGCATTTATCAGACTAGCCAAAAAAAAAAAAAAAAAAAAAAAAACGTGTAACTTAAAGGATGGGGGAGGGGTGATGTAACCAGGGCAATAGTTTCAGGAAAACGACTTTCTCTGTGTGCAGTTAATTAGGAAACAGTGTGTTTGCTAGAGAAGGGGGTCAAAAGAAGGGAATGATGACAATCACTCCATCAACGTCCAACACTCAAAACACCCCCCACGGGGGGGGGGGTAGCTAACGGTGGGTCAGCGCCAAAGCCAACTGAAGAACTGGTCCAGAGGGACCCCGTGAAGGAATGACAGGAGACCCTAGCCGAGGGGGAGGGGTGGCGATGACAGGAGGGCAGGCGGTGGGATGATAGCAAGCCTGGCGTCTCCAAAAAAGCGAGAATGCCGGGGACGCGGGTCTCAGAGAAAGGCAGGGCGGCTCGGCAGAAGTGAGAGGGACCGGGCAGGGAACGTGGGAAAGGCGGGACCCTCGGGCAGCAGGGGGGTCTGCGGGAGGCACCGACAGGGCAGGACGCGGTTCCTCCCAGCTGATCGCCCTGCTCCCGGCCCCTCCGCCACCACAAACTCACTTTCCCCGCACCCCCGAAGTCCGCAAGTCACCCCCGACCCGCTCCCCCGTCCCCCTCGCCAAGCCGGAGAGCTTCAGAGAGGGCGCCGGGGCTTCCCGGACTCCGTCCCCCGGCGGCCGGAGGGTCAGAGCGGGACACAGCCCAGGCAGGTGGGCCGGGAGGCCGGGAGCCACGCAGAGGCCCAGGAGCCGGGTGACAGACAAGTCGGAGCGGCCGCCGGGCGCCTCACCTGACAGAAGCGTCTGCAGTAATCCCGGCTGCTGATCCCGACGCCGCCGCCACAGCCGCTGCCGCCGGCTCCCCCTCTGCCGTCGCCCGCAGCTCTGAGCCCCACAGGGCCCGGGGGGGACTCCACAATGGCCACGAGCTCTTCTCCGAGGCGTTCGGCCTCTTGATCGCTCTCTTCCTCCGCCATGAGGCTCTCGCCGCCCAGCGCGTACCCAGCCCCTGCGCCGCCGCCGCCGCCGCCGCTGCCTTGGTTAACCTCCTCCTCCTCCAGATCCCTCCTCCTTTCCCTCCGCCCCAGCCGGACAGGGGCCACTCGGCCGGGCTCTACTTCCGGCTCCGCCCACCCACGCCCCCAGCTTTCACTGGAGGAAGGGAACCGCCAATCATAGCCATGCCCGCCCTACACTCCTATTGGTTAAGCTGTCCGTCTGTCTGGCAGCCCCGCCGTCTGTTGGTCGCCGCAGCTCGGCGGTTGCTGGGGCCCGCCTACGAGCTCTGCCATAGGGCGCGCCCGAGGACGGGGCGCGGCGGGGGACACGGCGGCCGCGGCGGGGTTCGCTCGGGCGGCGGCGGCGGCGGCGGAGGAGGAGGAGAAGGCGGAGGCGACGGCGGAGGCGGAGGCAGCAACAACGGCGGCGGCCGGCTGCAACGGGACCTCCTTCATCCCGTTGCGCTCGCTGCCTTTCCTTCCTCCTCTTTTCGTTCCCGCCGAGGGCTCGTGCACTTCCCCTAACGGCGGCCCGATCCTACGGTCCCGAAGAGCTGGGAAGACGGAAGGTGGGCTCGGCCGTTGGTGCGGGCGGAGGCGGCGGGCCAGGGGTGGTGGGGGGGGCTCGGGCCCGTGAGAGGGGGCGGGGGCGGGGCCGGAGGAGGAGGGGACGGGCAACCTGACAGCGACGGCCTCGCCCGCCGCCCGCCGCCCCCTCCCCGGGGACTGCCACCGCGTCGGCTGCCGGCCCCTCGGGTCCTCGGAGGGCAGCTGGGACTCGGCCCCGGGCTGCAGGCGGGGTCGCGCGGCGCTGGGGGCGCCACCTCGGCCGGCGCGGCGGGAGGAGGCTGTCTAGACGTCGGGCGGCCCGCGCCCGCCTTCCCCGCCCCCACCGGAGCCTCGGGCCTGTGGAGCGCGCGGCGGGCGGAGAGGGGCACCCGCCCGGGGCGTGCGGACGGGGACCGAGCCGGGTGGACGAGGTCTGTGCTCACCGATCGTGCACCGAGGGCTGCGACGCCGGGGTAGTGCGTGCCCCAGACGCTCCGCCGCGGGCCTGCCGTCTGCCTTTCCCGCCCCTCCACCATCTTCCCTCTCTGTTTTTGTGTTTTACAGTAAAGGCATGACTTCCCGGCGCCGCAGGGAAAATAGGGTGCAAGCCCAGAAACTCTTTCCCCACCACCACCTGTTGAAAAACTGATTTCGTTCGTCGAAGGCGTCTCCGGATCCGAAGGAACGGAAAGTTGCTAGGATTGGATGCATCTCTAGTGTTGCACCGGAAAACCGTCGCTAGTTAATATCAAGGAGAGAGAGAGAGAGAGAGAAAAGAACTGGAAATTAAGCCGGTAAACATTTCGACTTGAAAACTTCTGAGTTTTGTTTTGCCTTAGTAAATTGCTGCTTCGTTTTTGTTAGTTCTTGAGCCTGACCTCTCAACTTCCTCATTTGATTATAATATTTCTGACTTCGGAAAATTCTCTTACTGAGATCACCTCTCAACGAGGTGGTTATTTACATCGGCAATATCGTGAGCAAACTTCAAGTTGAAAGGTCACAGAAGTTCAGGCCTCACATTAGTACAAGAATTACAGATTCATTATTTCTAAGTTTGCAGTTCACGTACTTAAATACAGTTCCACGGAGGAAAAAATATATATATATATAAACCATACGCCAGAAAAGGATACGCCATTAATTGTTACTGGGACAGGTTGGCTTCAAAGATACAGTGTACATGTAGAAATTGCAAATATTTGCACTGATAATTTCCTGACTATTAAGCAGGATTCATTGACAACTATCCTAACACAGAATCTGACAAGACCTGTGTCAGAGATATAATGGGATGGAAATCCACAAAAATTAAGCATAGTGAATTCTAGACTTTATGTACCTTACAGAATTTTTATGAATTGCTAAGTCTTCCTCTACTTTGCTTGGGCCTGTAGATGTTTGTTAACATACTGACAAAAATTGAAAAAATTTTGATGTTGCCCAGCAAGTAGACTAGTCCATGGTTTGTTAATATACTTATAAAAACTTAATTCTAAAGAACATACTTGGAAATATTTTTCTAAACGTTTGTAACAGGAAATTATTCCATTTGAATTTTACCATTTTAGTAGGTTTAAATTTTGATTATTATAAGAAGTTAGGTCACTGAGGAAATAAAAGTGCTTGCTGCCAAGCCTGACAACCAAGAGTTCTGTCACTGGAAATACACTTGGTTGAAAGGGAGATCCAACTTCCTCTAGTTGTCCTCTGAACTCCACACATGTGGCTGTCCCACACATTCATACATATATATACGAAAATGTAAGAAGTAAAAAGCAGCCAGGTATGGTGACACAAATCTGTAATCCCATCTACTAAGGACACTGAGGCAGGAGAATTTCACATTGAAAGCCAACCTGGACAACAGGTTCTTTGGGATTGTTTTTGGATTTTTTAAAGTTTGTTATTAGGCTAAAGTGAGTTATTAAGCTGCTTCAAAGCTATATATTTGGAGCTGGGCATTTGTGGTACTCACCTTTTATCCCATCATTCAGGAGGCAGAGGCAGGCAGATCTCTGTAAATTCAAGGCCAGCCTGGTCTCCAGGGCAAGTTCCAGGACAGGCTTCAAAGTTACACAGAGAAACCTTGTCTTGAAAAACCAACCAAACAAAAAAATTATATATTTGTATAAATGGTTACTAGGAGGTTTTTGTTTGTGTTTCATTTTTTGTTGTATTTTGGTTTTGGTTTTTTTAGCATTGCTAGGGTCAAACCCAGGACTCAACTCATTCTAGGCAATTGCGCTGCCACTGAATTATATAACCAGCCATCCATTTACTCTATGTATTAACAATAACTTATTTTACCAGGCATGGTGTCATACACTTATAATCTCAAGCACTCAGGAGGAGACAAGGATGGTCAATCTACAAAGTGAGACCCAGCCTGGGTGTTTTTTTGGGTTTTTTTTGTTTGTTTGTTTGTTTTTTTGTTTTGTTTTTGTTTTTTTTTTTGTTTGTTTGTTTTGTTTTTTTTCCTCTCTTTTCCTTGAAACAGGGTTTCTCTTTGCAGCCCTGGCTCTCTTGGAACTCTGTAGATGAGGCTGGCCTCAAGCTGGTCCCAGCAGTATGTGTGTGTAATCCCAGTTTTGGGTACAGTTAGAGAAGCTATTCAAAAAAATAAGATGTGCCCATAGGCATATAGCACATACACACAAATGTGAAGGAATTGACCTAGCTGTTTGCTGCTAATTTGGTTTAGTTTTGTCTTCCTTGAATATTTCAGATAAAGATTTAAAAGACTTACATCCTACTGCATTGAATTAAAAGACTCTTGGGGAATGCTAAGGATCATTGAGTTAAGTTTGGGGTTGGAGGAATTGGTTGACTTCAAATCTTTACTCTTAAAAAAAAAAGCACTTTTAACCCTACCTTTTATTGTTAATCACTTCTAGAATGAGGTAATGTCATAACACGATACATCTTTCTCTTGTCTTAGAAGAACCTTACTCAGTCAAAATGGAACGTTTTGTAGTAACAGCACCCCCTGCTCGGAATCGTTCTAAGACTGCTCTGTATGTGACCCCTCTGGATCGAGTCACCGAGTTTGGAGGTGAACTTCATGAAGACGGAGGGAAACTCTTCTGCACTTCTTGCAATGTGGTTTTGAATCATGTTCGCAAGTCTGCCATCAGTGACCACCTCAAGTCAAAGACTCACACCAAGAGGAAGGCAGAATTTGAAGAGCAGAATGTGAGGAAGAAGCAGAGGCCGCTGACTGCATCTCTCCAGTGCAACAGTACTGCGCAAACAGAGAAAGTCAGTGTTATCCAGGACTTTGTGAAAATGTGCCTGGAAGCCAACATCCCCCTGGAGAAGGCCGATCACCCAGCAGTCCGAGCATTCCTGTCTCGACATGTGAAGAACGGAGGATCCATACCTAAGTCAGACCAGCTGAGGAGAGCCTATCTGCCTGATGGATATGAGAATGAAAATCAGCTCCTCAACTCACAAGATTGTTGACAAGGCAGTTATGACCATTGTGATCAAGATAAATAATGTGGAGTATTAAAGTTAATGTGTTGATTGTGTGGTTCATTTTTATATTTATTTCATTTAAAATCATGTGATACAGAATAGTTTTTGCAATGTGTATATAGTTGCAGGCAAAAGAGAAAAAAAAAAAACCTCACTGCAAAACTTACTGCTAATTTTAGTCACCGATGGTAAAAGCAAAACTTAGCTGTAGAGTGTATTAGGATATCTGAATCCTGGTGGTTATCTTTCAAACTGATGGGTTTTCTCCTGAAATGTTTGTGCATGGAAGAACTACCCTGCGTTGTAGCCCTGTTGCCATGTATGATTATTTCTTATGAGGTTACTTAATTGTTTGAGTTGAGAACTAGCCTATAAAATTGAAGCTGCTGTCAGGCTATACCCATCACAGGAACTTAAAGAAGTTTCAGTTCTCTTCAAAATATGGAAGGCGGGAAATGTTAGAGCTGGTGATCTCTTAAGAGAAAAAAACTGTTGAAACTACATTTTATTTGTGTGTGAAATAATTGCCTAACCTTCACTTCCTCACCATCTTCACCTTTTTAAAGACTTGTACTTAGTAGCAGCTTCAACGACCAAAAGACTAAAGGCTGTCTTAATGTCTTTGCCAAAAGCCATGGGGATTTTGCAGTGATAAGATTTTGGTCTCGAACTATGAACACAAATTTTGAACCATAGTTTTCATGTTAAATACCATCTTGGATTTGCAAACTTTTTATGTCTTAGTATTAAAAGACTACAGGACTGATTTTTTTTTTTTTTTTTTTTTTTTTTTTTTTTCATTTAAATTCACTGTGGTTCAGTTTCCTATTTTCCGGGGAATTAGTAGTTACTTTCTGGCTGGCAACAAATAAAATTGCTTTCTATACATTAATTTTTCCATAAGATTTTATAAGAGTTTATTTAGGTGAATAGACTAGAAATGAGTTTTAGTTTGACTTTTATTGCTTTGCCTCTGCAGGTTTTAAGACTTGGATGCTAAACAGTTGTCTTGAAAACGGGGCAAGACTTTTATAGTAGATATAAGCAGGGTGCTGCTTAGTTGTTTGAGTCAGAAAATAATCAGTTCTGTTAAAGGTCAACCATGTTTAGGTTCTCTGAACTTTACTGTTCTGTAAGCTTATTAGAAGTAATTTAGCTCAGATAAGTCCTCTTCACCAGATCCAAATTCTATTTTTTAAAAGTTTAGTAACTGAAACTTAGTTAGAGCTTTAATATAAAAATAAATCAAATAGTTGAAAACATTGAAGTTATATTTCTATTGTAAATCAGTGGCAAGATGCCCTGTGTGACTTGGAGTTATCTTTCAGGTCATTATGCCGCAAATTTCCATTAAACAAAAAGCCAAAGTTAGTAAAAAAAAAAAAAATAATAATAATAATATAATTTGTGGGGTTAGTTTTTGGGTTTTTTGTTTTGCTTTTGTTTAGTTTTTGAGACAGGGTCTTTCTACCTAGACCTATCTGTCCTGGAACTCAATATGTGCAGACCAGGCTAACATTGAACTCACAGAGATCCATCTGCCTCTTTCCCTCTGGGATTCAAGGCGTGCATCACCACGCCCAGCAATAACTTGTGTTGTGAAGAACAGCTTGTGTTAAGGGTCTTTTGTATATTTAACATCCCAAATTTAGCTTGTGAAAGTGATCACTTGCTTCTTTCTACTTTAAAAGCCTGCTCTGGAAGGAAAAAAAAAAAATCAGTTCTCAAAATTTATAGTTTCCATTTTCTAATATTTGGTTAGACTCACATAGCACATAAATGTCTAGACATTTGGTAAAGCGCACAGATCAGCAGAGTTAAAGAATTTGCAGGCAACCATGTTTAAATTGTCTAAGATGATAGGAAATCTAAGCAACTAAAGAAATAATTGAGTTTTGTACCCCTATTTTCAAAATAAAACCAATCATTCTAATTTTTAGGATTCCATGTGATGTGGACTATTCCCTATTGTCTGGGACTATGCACTATCAGTAAACATGGCAGAACAGCTTCTAGTAATCTAGTAACATGCTTGATTTTGCACTAGAAAACAATTCACCTTTGCCTTTCTTGCAGTTATTACTGACTTCACAGTCACTTAGTTCCTCTAGAACTACTTTTCCAAGCTTGCAACTGTTCTTCCATTTTTTTGCATCTCTAGGGGCATAGTTCATTCTGTTAGGGTTGTATCATGTCCTTAGAATGAGTTTTCCATTCTCTTGGGGGAAAGTTTCTTCACTGATTATGAAAGTTTGTTTCTTGGAACTGGTTAAATTTGTCTCATAAATAATAAAAGTGGTTATAGTAGCCTGCTGAAACTAGTAAAGATTTCCAAAACTATGATTGGCATGTTAGGTAACAAATGAGACTGTCTAAGGCATGTGCTACTTGGGAGGCAAAATGAACGTGTGTACAGAAGCTTTCAATCTTAGTTATATAGTAGTAGTATTGATGCTATACTATTGGACCATTAGCAGCTCTTTTTTATAAGTTGAATGCATTATTACAAGCTTTGTAATGTTTCATTTATATACTGCCTTCAACACATGCTTACCTGTTAATATTTTCTCAGAGTATTGTAGTATGTCTTCCAGAACCTCACTATATCCTGACAGTAAATAGTTCTAGCTTGTTGAATTTTCTGTTGGTTTCTTTTTCATTATCTCTGGCATATAGCAAGCCTGAAAAATATTGTAATCATTCTTTTTACAGAGTGCGAAATTAGATTGTGTATGAGAGCCTATATAGTTATTTTATCCATTATCTTTGATTAAGGCTTTCAAATATTATTTAGTAAATGCTACTTCCAGTTAATTGCCTGTGGCCCTACTGAATTTTAAGGGACCAGAAAATTTAACAAGTTTTACATCTTACTGTTTAAGTACTTGGAAATGTTCTCAAGTTGTATACAGTTGGCAAGGTTTCCAAGCTAAAACTTTGGCCTGAAAGAATTTGTACATGAATGGTAGCAAATACATAAAAGCAAATTCAATTTAAGGTGACCTAAAACAAAGACTACAAACAAGTTTTCATTTGGTTCTTAGTCTTTGTAAGGGCTTTCTGTGTTTGACTTACCTCAACTGCCATTAAATGAGGACAGATCACCTTAAAATAATTGACTTACATGGAAGGTTAGTCGTATAGTTTCCAAATAGATTGCTTTGGCTTTTGGTCAGCACGAATGAAAATGTGAAGTGACTATCCTAAACCTTGGATGATCTCAGCCCATACCCAGATCATTGAGGTAACTACGGTCCTTACCTAGTGCTGTTCTACTTGTATCCAGAATACTGTATTAAAATTTTACTATGTTAATTTTCGTCTTCCTGTGCTTATTTTTTACTTTTGCTCATGCACGTATTTTAGTATAAATATGTTGCTTTTTAAAAGTTTGTGACATTTAGAAATAAATTTCAAAATTTCTAAAGGTGTTGAAAGCATATTTTGTTTTGTGGGTCAATGACAAACATTTCATAATTTCAAGGTTTTGCCTTCTTCATTTTGATTTTCTACCAGTCTTTTCTCCTGTTTGTAGTGTTAGCCTTTTTGCCCTATGTGAAAACATGTTGTTAGGCCAAAATGACATCATAGCTTCAAATTGCCCTGTTCTCCCAAAATACTATAGGCAATGTATAAGTTCAGTCAGCATCGTAATGGGAGCATTTTACTTTACTTTTACAGTATTTTGAAGGGCCTGGGTTTTGAAGTGCTCAATAGTTAAGACAATTTGCTGCTCGTGGACAGGGTTCCCAACACCCACACTAATTGGCTTGCAATAGTCTCACTCCAGCTCCAGGGGATCGGACACCCTCTTCTGGCTTTTTCAGGCACCTGTATGCAAGTACATATAAACTCACACAGGCACACAAACATAAATCTTCAGAAATGCGATCATCAGTTAATCAGAGACAGGATTGGTCATTTTAAAAATACATGGAAAGAGCCTTGTTTTCATCTTCTGTATGTTTTTGAAACTCAAGACTGTCAAAACAATTTTACCTGGTTTGCCAGAGCTGTCCCTGCTTCCACTCATATTTGTGACAACAATGAACTAGTTACAGTGGGTTGTTTTTTGTTTGTTTGTTTTTTGTTTTTTTTTTTCCTGAAGTCAAAATGGTAGAAAAGATCTTTAGAAATCTGCCCATTCTATTCAGTTTTATGTTCTCAAACTGTCTTCAGGTTTTCTAAAGAAGCTCAGTTTACTAAGGGTAAATCAACTTGTTTGCAATGAGCCTCTAGAATGTTCCCTGTACATATATGGTTACATCGAAGAAGTATGTGCCCTCAGGGCTCAAGGGCAGTGGCTTGCTGCAAAAGGGGCATGCCTTTGTTTCTAGGCAGCTATAAACATTTATGAGTCTTGCTACCAGCCACCTTTTTGTCTGGGATCTTCAAAGACTTGTATTTTTTAAAAGCCACAAAAATTGAACATCTGCACACATGTTTTAGGAATCCGGTCTTCCGCTAGGTGGTAGTGATCAACCCATTTATAAGAGCATGGTAACATGTATAAAATATGCAGTAACTTATTAAAACCAGTTTACATGACAGTCGTATCTAACTGAAGATTAACAAGTTGAATAATTCATTGTAGCGCCCGCACTACAATCTGTTCCATGAATTGGGTGAAGGCCTAGAGATTGAAATAAAGAGATAAGACAGTGGGTCATTCGTTCAAAGGCAATGTTGGAATGCCGAATACTGTTTATTAAGGGGATGGAACCTGCTTAAATACTGACTTACAGCACAGTGGAAAATAACAGAATGTTTAGTCTTAGCTCCTCCCCACGAGGCATATGTTATCACGAGGTGTGTGTTATCAAAATGGGAAGAGTAGGAATAACAGCTTTGGGGCAAGGAGTTTTGGCCAACAGCTTCCAGCTTACTCAAGGTGCCTCTGGGTCCATGCAGGGCCCTACAATTCATCCTCCTTATTATGGAAATATTAAACACTGTAAGTATTTAACTCTTTAACTTCCATTTCAGTATGTTAATTGATAAAAATATAAAACTACAAAATTTAATCACACATTTGTAAAGTTAAGTCA